CAGGGAGGAGGTTGATCTGCAGAAAAACGGAGGAACGTCCTTTTCCCTTTTTTAAAATGCCTTTCTCTGGTCTATTCTGTAATCTGTCACTTCTGTCTAATGTGTGTATGTTTACATAAATATATAAATATAATATAAAATAATATTTTTAAAGCTATTTTGGCCTTTGTATTATCTAAACCAGGGGTAACAAACCACAGCTGGTATTGTAATCTCATAGGAGGGGACTGCTGCACTCAAGTACAACTAGAAAGTGTAATAATTCTACTAATGTTTCCATATATAACATCATAGTTAACAAAAAAGGTAACAAAAAACAGCTGTTTCTATACTTTTATACCATCATTTTATGTATTTTTTGTTGTTCGTAGCCAAACAACAAATGAAAGCTTGTTTTGCACCAAACCAAATGCATTTTTTCTAAATCAAACTGTGTTTTTATTTGAATTGTATATGAAGGACTAAAGCAATGATTTCTTTTGGTTGGAAGAAATTTCAAGAAAGCAAATATTAGAGGAAAATATATTTATCTTGGTTCTGAAGTTATCTTAGCATACTGGTTAATGATGCAACAAATGCAGAGAAGTTCCTGACATCTAATGCAGATTTACTATTGTTATCATTCAATATAAGTGACAGATAATGTTGGAATACACGTGGATTTATTAACAATCTTCTAATTTTAAAAAAACTAAACAAAACAAAAACAGACAATATTTAGAGAGTAGGGCTGCTGATGGCCGATATAAAAACAAATAAAAAGTGATGAGTCTATATGTTTTTATAGGAAATTCAGCCCTATGTTTACAGGATGCACAAGAGTACAGAGCTTGAAAACTATCTTTTGCACCATCTTCCCAAAAGGTGGAGCACTAACATCGTTCCACAGCAGTCACACTGACAAGGCTGCCTGCAGACGTGTCTGAAGACATATATTGTTTATCAGCCTCGTGAGCACAGGCTGACTGATTTTAAGGCATGCTAGGAAACCTAAAAGATATACACAGTAGGCCTATATCTCAGCATTTGGTTCACTTGTGTCAAGAAATGTAAACGTAAAGTAAAGTAAATTGTCTAATAGCACAATGGTCAAGCATCAGGGACAAGAAAACACTGAATTTGTCCCAAAAGAAGCCTATTAAGTCTGTGTGCTTGTTAAAAATGATACAGAGAATTGTACAAAAAGTTAAATAATCTGCTCAAAATTCAACCAAATCACTCATCTTACACAAACTTATTTTCAGTTACTGATTCACTATTTGTGTTCATCGTACGATTTTGAATATATTATTAAATATCCATAACACATATGTCATTTAATCAGGGGTCATCAGTGTACTAAATAATATTAAAGGGGGTCCCTTGAGGATAAAGTCTGGGAGCCACTGCTCTGGGAAACATGAACCTTCAATACGAAATCAACGGACAGGATGAATAACCAAACTCCAGTCTGCAAATCATTATAACAGTTCAACCAGTTTCACTTCTGTCTACATCAAACAATAAACAGCACAATCACTATCCTCTTAAGAAAAAGCCTTCTTGATTTTAAGGTGTGTAAGAAAACATAAATAAATACACACACTGGCCTATATATCAGCATTTCTTTCATTTTTAAAGTTCAGATAATGATTTAAGATCTAAACTTTGATCACCCTTGCCTTCGCTCTGTGATAAACAACCTCACACTGCATTAGAAAAGAGATAATGCAACAATAAGAAAAGACACCTATGAAGTATGTATGATTGTTAAAAAATAAACTACATGATACAGACACAGAATTGCACAAAAAAGGTCCCTAAAATGATCAGGGAAACAAATAATAATAATAATAATAATAATAATAATCTGGCAATTTTACACCAAATTCCTGCAAGTATTGCTCACTATTTGGGTTCATTGTACAGTTTATCAGTTGTTCTGTGCTGTTATTGTTATGCATTGAATATAACATGAACTATACATCCAATATATCACAGTCAGGGGTCGTCAGTTTACTCAATCACTGCAGTAATATATAATATAGTAATTTTCTTCCACTAATAACACTGCAGAGGGCGCTAGTGAGCAGCTTTAGGTTCAGATTGTAGCTTTACATTAAAATACATCAGCTACAGCGAGTTTACGTACTTTAAGCCTTTTTGTCCGACGTACAAACGCTAAGTTTTCTAAATGAAAGGCAGATTTTAAATGTGTTATTTAACTTAAATAAGTGATTTAACTCATGAGAGAAAGGAACAAACCGAGGCTGCGGTTTTTTTTTTTTTTTTTTCTTCCAGCGAGAAACTGTCAACTTTATCAAGAAAAAAAAAAACTCTCTTTAAAAAGGAAACAGTTTTAAAGTTATCTACTCACCCGTTTGTCATTTCCGTAATACCGAGCATCCTCCCCGCTTTCTCTCCCCCTCTCTCTCCCTCTTTCTCTCCCGGACTAGCCTTGTGTTTTCTGCCTTCAGCAGCAGACGTCCAGATGTGGTTCACCAGTTCCCGGGGATGTAACGATGGTGAACGTTGGCGTCGGTTTCCACACGGCGAGCAGAATGGCGTCAACGGGCCTCGCCTCAGCTCACCAACCGTCAACGGCCGCTCAACGGCAGAGCGCACTTCCGCTGGGCACTTTCAAAGTAAACGCGTTCCGTTGATTGTTGGCGCAAAGTTCATTATTTCAAAGTAAATAAAAGTTTCTTCTTTATGTCTTGTATTTTTCTGTTTTATTTAGTTGTTTAATGTGTTTTTTTGTTTTTTTCTTATCTGCTTATCTGGAGCTGTGAATTTCCCCAGTGTGGGATCAATAAAGTCTATTTTGTCTCATCTTATCTGAACAAAATAAAAATAATAGAAACATATACACTTATTAATATTTTTTATATCATTGAGTAAAGTGATGAGCCCTGACTAAGTGACATATTTTATGGATATTTCAGGAAGTTTCGCTGACATTTTAGGAAACTTTTATACAGTTCTGTCTGTATTATGTTTTTTTTTTTTTAAATGTTATTTCCAACAATCTTTTTTTTGACACATTCAGTGTTTTACCTTCGTACTTTTCTAATGCAGAAGGAGGCTGTTTATCAGAGTGAAGCCTCTGTGAATATTGTTTGTGACTTTTCAAAGTTAAACTTAACAAGGTTAAAATAACAATTTCATTTAGTTTTCTTCACGAAAATGAACAAAATGCTGAGATATAGGGCTACTGTGTACATTTTTTCAGTTTTCTTACACCTCTTTAATTAAAAGCCCAACCCCCAGGTTGGGAACCATTCATTTACATGATACATAATGCAATAGGTAATAGTTTTACAAAACTACTTCAATTGATGTTTATGTGAACAACATAAGTATATCGAATAATAAGTATAAAGAATATAAAGATAAAAGTAATATTCTATAAAAACTGAAAATATGAAAAGGTAATGTGAAGGTAGGAATCTAATTGGGCAAAATAGGTTCATGTAAATACATATAGATTTTTAAGTAATTATATGTCCTGTCCTTCCTTTAGAGATACTTTTACAGACTTTGTTTTATTTTCCTTCCTATTTTATGGTTGGATTCTATTCTTATTTCATTCTTTGATTATAGGTTTTCTTTGTGTGGAGTGTGAAGAGGGCTGCATTTCATTGTGCAATCCTTTATTGTAAAATGTCAATAAAGATGAACCTTGAATCTTGAACCTACTATGAGTTTATTGTTTCAGTAGTGACATATAATAATGCTTGATTTGGTTTCATTTCTGTTCAGCAAACCTTGCACTTGCAGCAGCTCTTTGTTTTGTTTGTAATTTTATCTTTTGGTCTCATATAATATCATGTAAGTCTACGTGGCAATCATTTACAGATCAGATTTTCAGTGAGGAGGTCAGGAAACCAAATCATGTTTAGGGCCTTGAAATGTCCAGACTCATTAATATTCAGGACCACAAACGTACTGCAGGTTTTGGGAGTAGATATGCAAACATTGTGCACAGCTAACCAGCCCATAACCCAGACAGACTTAAAACCTGTGCTTTTATTGTGAAGGGCAGAGCGCTCGTCGACTGTTTCTCTGTTGATCTGTTGCAGCTTCTCATTCAGACTGTGAGCCTCCACCGCTGGAGAATTACAATTTAGTTTTTACAGCCAGAAAACGGCAAGACCCGCCCTGCACAGCTCAGTGCAAGAAGTGTTAGTATCAACAGATTAAACGGGTATTTGTATCTGGATTCATGCAGTAAGCCACTCCTGCATCCTCTAGTCTTGTATCACTTACATATGAAGCATCAGTTTATATGGAAACTCTGACTATTTTATTTTCTGGACACCGGATACTATACAGAAGTTCAACATGGCGAGTGGGAGCCGTGAAGAAACCTCATTTTATTTGATTTAAACCATCCACAAGTTATATTACATACACAGTGGATGAAAAGAAGATGCTACTACTACTAGGATAAGACTGGATGATAAAAATGAATGGCAAAAACTAATAGGAGGAATTGCATCATATTAAGGCGAGGTGTTAATGATAGTGCTGCTCCCTAGTTAATAGCACCTTTACCCTTCCCTCCCAGTGGCAGATACAGTAGTTATTATTTGTTGTTTCCTCTCCGGACTGCGTCGTCATACTAGAAACCACATATATTTCCTTAAAAGGAGAGCTCCCACACCCCCTTCCCTCCCTGAAAGAGGGATGAGGACTTTCATAGTAGGAAAAAGAAATGCACAGCTACAAAGAAACTGGAGTTCACACTACAAACAGATTGAGTCTGAAGTTGAGACGTCAGAGCAATAAAAAGATTTACAAGTCAGAAAAGATGGATATTTTTATGTTTATCTTGCAGTCCCTTTATACTTTATGTATTCATCATGACTGTTAAGATATATAATCCGTAATGCTGAATTAATGCTGATTGTGATTCGTTGCTGCTGATGCTTATAATGACCTGTAGATGCAAAGTTTTATATCAAAATGCATTATAATGAATGAATAAGCAAAGGTTGAATACAAAATAACTGGAAATATTTTCATCCATGTTGAGTTTATTTTAAGTTTACAAGTTGTTTTACAGTGAAACAGTTAACACACTGTAAACGCGCCTTCATTCTTATACAGATACACACTTTATAGTTACAGTAATCTCGCATAGCCTCTGCTGACGTTACCCAACATGAATATAAAAAGCATTCAATACAAATACATTCACTTGTGCTGAAGGAATCACAAAAAGCTGCCACTGGAATGAGAAAATAAACAAGCCGGTTATCTTCTTCATTAATAGGATGTGAGCAAAAAATAATTTAGTTATGTGATGAAACAGTGGGTGGATGTGTGTTTTACAGGGAGGTCAGAAGGTCGTGGTCAGGCACTGTGAAAAAGCAGCACCCGTGAGTCTTGCTCAAGGACACTTTAGCAGGTTGGATATGCTTGCCGTCACGGCGACCGTCCTTCAACAAGACAGCCGTACAGATGATGCTGCAACAAATCTGTCAGGTCCAGTGATTAAACAGCAGCACAACAACAGACTAAAAACAGAAAGTATTCCCAAAAAAAGACAGAGAAAGCATTAAAATAATGATTTGGCATTAAATAACAACCACAACAATCAGGAACTACAAAATTACACAGTAACCAGAACAAAATCACACATCAACCATCGCTACAGGATATGATCAATCAAAACACAAAGAAACTCCAACTGATTTAAGAATGTAAGCATTAATCAACAACAACAAATTATGTCAGAAAAAAAGCATAAATATGCTATTATAATAATGTTTTGTCAGTCATGTTGGTCAGGTGAACCTGAGAACGTAGAAATGCACTTTTTTTTAATATTATAAGTCAGATTATGATCGAGATGAAGAGACTTAAATGGATCACACTGGATAGTTAGCATGCTTTAGCCAAGCAGCAACCTCCGTGGCTGCAAATGAAACCAAACAATGGAAGTAAAACAAACTGCAGTTCCTCAAACGGCCACTGGAGGCGGGCTACAGATGGGAGTCAATCTTCATAAGAACCCATATTAAAATGCCCAAATTTATAGCAGGATTAAACATGTTTACAGCCTCGTACAAAAAACAGTTTTGGTCTCTTTATCTAATTTCCTCCGTCTATGATAACTGTAAGTGAATCTTTATAAAACTCACCAGTTTAAAATATATCAAGGCTTAAAGTTAGGCTAAATTGAGAGGGTGGCCACTTTGAGTGACAGGCGGCTGTGTTCAGTAACCAGGCTTCATTCAGCCCGCCTCAGCTCCACGTCTTAACCCATTTTTGGATCAGGAGCCGGCAAAGTCGGGAATGCCAAGATAGAGACGACCAGAGCCGACCACACTGAGCTTCACATCGGCTCTTCAGAAACCGATGGGTTACGTCACGGACTCTACGTCTAGTTTGTGTACAGTGAATGGTTTTAGGCCATTAACTAAATCACGCGTACTGGACTCTACCGGTGATTGTTTTCTAAAGCGTGTTGCATTTAAGGTTTGTCTTTTTTTTCTACCTTCAAGGCAACAACTGGTTGAAAATTAATGTTGAGATGATGTTTATTCTGATATATTGAGCAAGTTTCCTGTTAATTTTCACACTGCAAGGAATAGAAGAAAATGGCTGCAGTCTAGGTAGTTAAAAAAATCTTTTAACGCTTCAGTATGTCCTTGAAATTGTTGAAAGAAATGTACCAAAAGAGCTGAAACTCTACTATAACCCTTTAAGTGTACTGTGCTACACAGTACAAGCCCATTACAAGTGCAAGTAAAATCTTAAGAAGTAATAAATCTTAAAGTGATAACATCTCACTAACTAACACAGTTATCCCCTTGATTAATCCTCCTCCTGTAATTTGTGCACTACACATGTGCATTATACAACGTTGTGAATATAACATGATATAGAAATGATGTACACACTCAGAATGTTTCAATAGTGCTAGCGATGCTTCGTAATGCCTTAAGAGCTCCAGGAGGCGTAACCCTCGCGTCCAGTAAATATTGTTGTCAATAGTTAGAGTAAGGAAGACAGAAATTTGTCACAGTTAACATTCAGTGGTAAGAGACTAATGTAAGTATTGCACTACAAATTCAAATCAATGTTCATGTCAAATGTTTTGGTTTCATCTCTACCACACACTTCACTTTTTTCTGATACAATCCTTGGTCCCTTCTTTTGTGTCCCAGAAAAAGGTTTGTAAATGCCCCGGTTTAACTTCCCGCCACTATTTCGAATGTACAGCATCGCTGCTTAGTACAGGTTTTCACAGAAAAAGGCCCAGTAACATCTTATCCTCCTCCTCCTCTTCCTCCTCCTCCTCCTCCTTATATTGTTTTTGCTGAGTTGGTTGATCATCAAGTCTACCTGATCCCAGACCAGCTGTGGAGATAGGAGGACCAACCTGAGCCCCGAGTCCCGGACCCCTCTTCCCCACCTGCACAAAGGAGATCAAATAAAACCCGGTTATAGATTATGGATACATGATTGACAGTATGTCCTGTAGTACGACAACTCCATATTGAGTAGGGACAGAACAAGAAATAAAATCATGATTAACAGATAATGTCCTCTCAGATGCTGTGTGTGATACAGTATGCAGTAATAACAGCTACATACTACAAAAAGTGAGTCGCGTTTACTTAGTTAGACACTTAAATCTGCAATATATTGGAGTAGAACCACTATCACAACACCATAGTACCATTACAAACCAGTTTATGAGCTGTTTGATCACCGGTCAGATTGCTAGCATATTTAAATAAATATGTTGTGTGTATTTAGTTTCTATGTATAAACCTTTTTTATGCTCTGTAGTGCAACACAAAGCAGTATATTTCAATTTCACATAGTTCTTACCTTGTGCAATGGCAGCCAGTTTGCTTTTCTCCTCTGGACTGAGCTGCAGCATTGTGTGAATGACGGGCAGAAGCGCCTGCCGCTCGCTGCCAGATTGCAGGAAGATGAACTGCAGCAGGACGTTCTTCAGATACTCCAGGTTAGCCACACTCTTCTCCCTCTCCTGGTTTCGCTCCAGACGACGCACTTCACTCTTCAACAGCTAGCAGGCAGAACATATGAGCAACTTTAAAGATTCCTTCCAGACAAACAAACGATGGGCTTGGAACAGTAATGTGTGTTTGATTTGTTTTAGTTTTCTTCCAAATTAAAGTCCTTAAAAAGACATTAACTTCTTCTACCTCATTAAACCATCCAGGAGTCTATGAATATGCAAATTTGTATCATTGTTGAAGTTTTCCTGCTGGACACAAGATGTCTCCTTGTTTACTGTAAAGTCTATTCTCATGTCACACACTTAAATGTATAAGTTGCATACTGGACCAGGTGTTATGTTACTGAAAACTGATCATTATAATAAAAAAATGACATCAGTTCAAGATCAATTACATTGTTTTTCAAACACAGGGCTGGAAAAAAAAAGAAGTGTTTAGTTTTGTATTAATTGTATAATTGTAAAGCAAACAAATAAAAACACAAAAACCTCCCTGGTTGTATATGGCCCCCTAACATGCCAAAATATTTATAATATAATATAATAAATGTATAATATAATATAATTTATTTTATTACAGCGTTAAATACATTTTTAATTCGATACGATTTATTAGTTATTTTATGTTATTAGTCATTTAAAAACAACAACAACAACAACAACTTGATTTTGTTGTTTTTTTTAGTGCATAACTCATTAATCGATTAATTTTAATCAACGCCGCTTTCTGTCACCTGACACCTTACGTCACACTAACAAACATGGCGGCGCCCTCTGCGGTGCAGCGCTGCAGTGTGTCGGGAAAGAAGCGATAAAAACTCGAGTTATAAAAACACGAGTTACATCGACTACTGAAGGCAGAACAATGGGTTTACAGTGCTTTCTTCGCGGGGCTCTGGCGTGTTACTCCACACACATTCAACAGAGACTCTCTCAAACTGCGTCGAGGTCCGCGCACACTTCCCCACCGAGCATCGCTGCTGCTGCCGGCCGCGGCCTCTGCACCTCCGCCCGGCCCTCCAGGGATGTGACCCTGTTCGAGCACGACAGGACCCGCTTCTTCCGGCTGCTGTCGGTCTTCTGCGGCGGACAGCTTCTCTTCTGGACGTACCTGGGCCACTTCGCTTTCACCGGGCTCAGAGACACAGGGGGCGCTACAGAGAAAGGGAAAGCCAGGGCGACCCCCCCCACCACCACCACCACCACCGGGCTTGCTGGGATATGGAGTTTCGAGATGAACCTGGGGTCAAACACCTGGAGGTACGGCTTCTCGCTGGGCTGCCTGGCGGTAGGAGCAGGGATAGTCGGGCTCGGGCTCCTGTTCTGCCGGCGCTCAGTCCACCAGGTGGTTTTACACCAGGGTGGGAGGATGGTGACAGTTTCCACACAGTCGCCTTTGGGTGCAGGCCGAGGCCGGAGGATGACAGTCCCGCTGTCACAGGTCGCCTGTCATGCTCACAGACATGAGTCCCCCTCGTTCATCCCCCTCAGGGTCAAAGGACACAAGTTCTACTTTCTTCTGGACAAAGAGGGGACCATTAACAACACCAGGCTGTTTGATATCACCGTTGGGGCTTACCGGCCAGTTTGAGTGGTTATTATTATTATTATTATTATTATTACACCATTGCCATAAACTGAGGAGGACTTTAGTGATTTTACATGGCTGCCAAACAAATGTGTCTGTTTCTGTTTGATTAAATCTATATAATCAACTATGGACTCATTTAATTTAAATCTATACCCAGTATGAAACATGTTTTATCCCTGCTGTGGACACGGTCAGCATTAAATACATTTAGAGAGGGGGTTTTAAAATATAATCTAAATGTATTTAGAATAAACTATTAGTAGTCCGGAGAAGATCCTGTAAGGAGGAGGAGTCTTACCTCACCTTAAATGTGATGGCTATTATTGCTGTTTTACTTCCATCTTACCAAATACAGTTGAGGTTACGTGTCAATGTTATTTTAAAGGTGCGTACACACTCCCCCCCCCCCCCATTATGTTGTTTGTTGTTACATAAAAACAGAATAAACAACTAGTTATTTTAATTGCAATTATAAAAGTAACAAGAAGCAGTTTGAATGAATTTGCTGTGAAATTAAAGTGATGAACGGTGTGTGTGTGTGTGTGTGTGTGTGTGTGTGTGTGTGTGTGTGTGTGTGTGTGTGTGTGTGTGTGTGTGTGTGTGTGCACGTACAGTGATCTGCTCCATGAGAACAGCATTGGTGGCTTCAGTTTCATGCAGGAGGCTGTTCATGTGCTCCATACTGCGGGTGGCTGTGCTCAGCTTTTGACTTAGCTCTTCTTTGGTGGGTTCCACCGTCCACACAAATGGCTCTGGAGACCAAAACAAACACACAAGTTAAAGTTAAAGCTAATTTGCCTCTGTTTGGGCCTCAAGCAAATATCTAAATTTCGTATTCCTTGACCCAAACAAAGATGGCAACCGGATGAGTAAACACTGTTGAGGCCAGAGGTTTAATACTGAAGTACTGTACATGGTGCTTCTATAAACTGGGTAATTTTTCCTTCAAACACACCTTGTTTGGGGTCCGGGGACATGAGAAGATGCTCCAGAGAGGGGAGGGGAGTAAGAGCAGGAGAGGGGCTCTCAGTCTCCGTGGTCTCCATGCCCTCGCCCTCCTCCCTGGCCATAGACTGGAGGTCGTTGAGGCCCATTAGTCCCAGCCCCGCCTGGTTCTGATCTGTGTTTCTGCGCTGGGGGTCTGACGCCAGGGGCTTACGGCCGGACTGGACCGACACTGGACCTGGAAGAATGAAAAGGTTGGGAGAAGAGTTGTTTATTAGCAGGTGAATATTAACAACGTACATGCTTTAAACCTTGTTTTTAAAGATTTACTTTAAACCAATCTTTACATTTCTGTTTAGTTCTCTCTAAACTGAGACTACTGTCACCCTGTTGCTCCAAACTCCACCGGCCTTCTGTTGTTAGTGTAAGTGTGTTGGGTACATTGATATTAAAGTTTGACATTATTACATTTTTACTGAACCAGTGTTCAGTAAAATAACATAATTCATTTTACATTTACTGTAAATAAGTTCAACTTAGCAAATGTAAGTTTCAACTATGACTGACCCTATTCCCCACCCTTACTTTATTGACATTAAACTATATTTTTATTGTTTTTATTTCTTTCAATACAAAGTAATTGTTATTTTTTGCTGCCCGATGTTTCTCAATTTGAAAAATACAAAATCTAAATAAATAAACAACATATAAACACATATTTAGTCAAAGATGAAAGAGAAAGCAGTATGGTATCGATCCCTTTACCGTACTAAACAGACTCTCTTCCCAATTTAACACCAAGCTGAGAGTCACTGTCCTACTTCATTGTGACATGAGGGGGCACCAGACACACTCACTTAACCAGTTCAGCTGGCATTAACAACGACAACAAGTGTGAAGAGAAGGGCGAGAGAGAAGGGTGAGGCACTTGAGAGAGTGGGTAGACAAGAGGGAAGATTGTGATTAATGCACCTAAAACTGAACCAGAAGACCAGACACTAAACCAATCCGCTCGCCTTCCCACCTCTTGCTGGTACTCTACCTCCTCTCTGGGTGCATCTGAGAGAGAGGAGCAAGATGCTGAAGACCTACAACATGCATTCATCTGTTTCTTTGTGTGTAAAAGGGCATTAGAGCTGGACCAGATTGTGTGGTCCGATTAGGGTTCAGATTAACTATTAATAAGGCTTTTCCTTGAGGACTAAAAAGCCTAGTTGGGACAGTAAACTGTGCCGCTTCTTATCCCTCTGCTGACACAACACTCCATGTTATAGATAACTTTACAATGTGCACAGATCTAACCAATAAAAACTGTAACAGGCTCAACACTCAGGACAAGAGATTCAAGATAAATCAAACTGTAGTGGTAAAAGACAACTATGGGGGGGGGGACACCAGTTCATAGACAAATTAATTTTCTGGACATGATTTGAACCACAGATAAATACTGAACAATCAGCATCAAAGAGAAGAGCAGAGAAAAGCTGCTGCCTCCACCAGTTTCTTGTAGAAGACTTTTTACTTTTACGTTTTTGGAATTAATATTTGTAATTTGTATTTATTTTCTGCTTGATTGTTTAGATTAAAGAGTAAATGGGGCGAAACATGTCTGTGAACATAGATCAATTTTAGTTTCAGTTGATTCATAAAAAAAGAAAAGAAAAGAGGCCAATAGAAATTGTCCAGCAGTTTTATGACGCACCTGCCCAATAGGACCAGTTAAAGCCACTGATGTTGAACCCTTCTGCATTTTAACTTGTTATTGAAAATGCTCAAATATGACTTGCAGTGATATTGGCCCTGTATATCGGGCTACTCCTGGCGGACATGTGTGAGCTGCTAATGATGAGTCTTTCCAGATGCCGCAGTGAGCTGTTTGCCCCACTGAGAGGCGGGAACAGAGCTGAGGAGCCTCGCCAACACCTGGCCATAATGAAGTGAAGAAACTAACACACACACACACACACACACACACACACACACACACACACACACACACACACACACACACACACACACACACACACACACACACACACACACACACACACACACACACACACACACACTTTCCTTTTCTAGTGACGTGTACTCATGTGTGTACTTTCTGTTTGACTCCAGAGGGCAGCTGTGTGGGAGGTGATGAATGAGCTTCCAGTGCCGCTTTTTTGATAAACACGCCATCTCTCCCTTCTCTCCCTTCTCTCCTCTCACAGGAAAGTAAACAAGATAGAAAACTTCAACACTGTTAACACTTGATGCTTTCATAGATCTCTTTATATAATAACATTCACGCACCCCTTGAGCTTCCTGCTGTCTAACTGAGCAGTAGTCACTTATTGGGGCTCATTAATATAAGAGATACATTTGTTACCTCCACTGCTACTCTGTCTGATACATGTACAGAACTAGCTACGTACTGGAGGATCAGTTTATAATGGATGACGGTTGTAATTTCCCTTCATGCTTACTGTTCTGGCTCTGCAGGTTGAAGAGTTGCTCCTCGAGGCGGGTCAGCTGACCCTGCAGGGTCTCCACAGTGGCCCGGTGGTCGTCCTGCAGCTTCCTCAGCTGCTCCCTGTAGGTCTGACGCTGGGTCTCGACCTGGGAGGACAGGTCAGCCTGAGCCTGGGACAGATCTGACCGCAGAGCCACGTTCTCTGATTGCACTGACAGCAGCCTGGGGGAGGAGGCAGAGAGAGAGGAAATTAATGGAAGAATTTAGACACTGAAAACAATTGGACAATTTTTATATAAAATATTTATATATTTATATGAGGGTGGGAGTGTGAGAGAACATAATACATCAACATGGTGGTATGGTAAATTCTGGACAAGACAGGGTCGAGCCAGCTCACCTCTCCCGGAGCTCAGCCTCCTTGCTAATGGTTTCCTGGAGGATTTTGTTGTGTCTCTCCAGCAGAGTGTCGTGTTCAGTGTGGAGCTGCTGCAGCTCCGCTGTGCTGCTCTGGAGGCTCTGATGGCTCTCAGCCAGCCTGGACCTCAGCTGTTCTATCTGAGAGGACAACTGCTCCCTGCCAGACACCCCACATATTCATTACACTGTCATATATCTTACAGTGTTGACTGATACATACTACTAATTAATGTTCACTTCAATTTGGTTCCCGAGCAGCTTCTGTTAGCTGCTTATTCATTGCATGGTGCAACTCGACTCTACTCGCTCTTTTTCCCTGGATAGTAGCTGAGTGAGCTGAGCTGATTCTAAAAGGTCACATGAAAACACTGCAGACCACCTAGTGGTCAAACAACATCGACATCCTGCACAAACCCTACATTTTTAAATAGTGTCCACAATTTATTTTATTCACTCAAAAATGGCAGACTGCAAAACTACGCCGTGGTCAACTGATGAAGTGCAGATGTATCAAGAACACCATCCTTTCATATCCTCTGTTATAAGAGCAGCAGCACCTTTTGTGTGTGCGTAGTTGTGTGTGGTGTGTGTTTGTGAGAGAGAGAGAGAGAGAGAGAGAGAGAGAGAGAGAGAGAGAGAGAGAGAGAGAGAGAGAGAGAGAGAGCGTGTGGTGAATGTGAGCGGTGCAGAGAAAAACAGAGGAGTGAAATCGTCAATCTGGCAGTAAATATACGTTGTAGGTTACAGTTTGTAAGTGAATAAAGTTTCTTAACTGTGTCGCTCTGATGCTCAGTTCCGCCTACGCTGAGGGGGTTACTATCTACAGTGGAAAACTATGTAGAGGTACCAAAAGTGAGTAAAGTCGAGCCATACCATGTAGTGGATAGCTATCTGTTGCATATAAGCTGTGTAGCTTTAAGGGTATCTGAAGTCCACAGTGGGTGGCCAGTGAAGGAATCCAGTTTTTTAATTTATTTATTTACTCAATTTCAAACAGTGCAGCAGGACAACAACAAGGTTATAATTCCTCCACTGTTAACCCACCCTGGATGTGAACACCTTCCTTATAGCTGCGATTCAGCATGTTTGTCATACAGATGTTGTCCTTACCTCTCCACTTTACCAGAGTCCCCGTCACTCTGGGAATTGGTTTTGTTCTTCTGCTGTTTGAGCACATTGTGGACTCGCACCTTGTAACTCTCAAACTCACCCGCTGTCGCCATGAGCTCAGCCTGTTATCATCACACAGATTGAGCAGAGATACACAGTAAATATCACGGCACACATTTACTGTAGATAGTATAAGAGTTTGTGAGAGGTGAGCAGATACGTTGTCGTCATTTCTGTTGGACAATTGATGAAGAATACTAACGTTTTACCTTATTTACATGGTCATTGTCTTAATTCTACTCAATTCTTACCAATTAGGTTTCAAATAATGCGTCACATAATCCAACTTCGTCATATCCCATCTCCTATTTTCTCCATTTGTTCTCTTTCAGTCCACTGCTGCCCTCAAACTCACTATACTCCCTCTGGACAAACACCATTAGGTAACTGCCTCAGATAAATAAAAATGTATTGTAAATTTTAAGATGAATACTGTTGGTCTGTCTCTCTCTTGCTTGTTTCAGCTTTTGTGCAAATGCATAGATAATTAAAACTGCTTGTGTCAGGTCCGTAATAAGATTGAAGACCCAGCTGAGCCTCCTTTACTCTTTTATAGACTTGTAAATTTCTCATCTTTCCCACCATATTCCCCCACACAGTGATCTTCATGCACTACACCCTTACAGCACTCTTACATTCACATGCTGATCAAAAATCCATAAAAATATCTGACACAGTAACGTTGAGTCGCTGCTAACAATGGAGCGAGAGAGGACAGGGAGCAAAATGAAAACCTGCAAATAATGTAAGTGCTGACTGGAGAATACACAAAGTAAAAAAAAAAAAAAAGGGTGTGCAGGAGGAACAGAAGAATGGAGAACAGACAGCAAATTACACAACACCTATATAGACCCTTATTGATCACAATATTATAAACACCCCTCAGTGAAACACAATACAGCTCAACATTGCCACAAACTACAGCCTCCAATATGACCTCTCAAGGATGGTGGGAAAATGTGATCTTCACGTTGAGTAGCAGTAGAAATGTAACACCAGCTGTCAGTGGTGGAAGAAGTATTCAGATCAAATACAAAACAAATGAAAAATAGGAACATTTGCATGTTTTCACCTCTTTTATATCACAGTTAAATAAAGCCCTTTGGATTTTTTCCTGTTAGTCAAAGCAATTAAAAGTTGTCACTTTAGGAACTTGAGAAAGGCATTTTTCAGAATTTCTGAACATTGTAAAAATTAAATGATTAATCAAAACTAATTGAGGGATCAATCATAAAAATAGTCATGAGTTACAGGCCTATATAACACTGCTCTCTACTGTGTTACTACTGAGCATGAGTGCAACCTTCAATTAAATTCATTACAGTTTTTAGTGTCTTACGTAGTTGCAGCATCTCAAACGCTACTTCTGATGTGTTTAATCAGTGATCAGTATGTTTATTCTGTATGTACTCTACAGGTATTGAGTCAGTCGAACCTGAACAAAAGGTTTAAAGCAAAAATGACAAATTGAGTGTCTGTGTCTGTGTGTGTGTGTGTGTGTGTGTACCTTAGCAGTGTCTCTCTCCTGCTGCAGGCTGCTGATGCGTTGCTGCAGGGAGCTGCTGGTTCTTTGTTGCTGTTCCAACGCAGACCTCAGCTGCTCCTGCAGACGGTGGCGCTCTGACGACAGCTCGCACACCTCAATCTCAACAGACAAACACACACACACACATATTAATATGTGACTTGTTTAGGACTTACTGATTTGTATAACTATATATTTCATTGCTGAGAGAGACATTTTGTTGGGAAGTGCTGGCTGTGTTACCTTGGAGCTTTCTAGCTGCTGTTGGTTAGCCTCCAGCTCTCCTTTCAGAGAGGCCTGCAGCATCATGAGGGAGCTTTCCTGCACGTATGCACAAACACAGTGAAAATTTAAATACATACCCTCATATACTCAAACATGGCAACACACACAAATCATTAACTCTTCCCAGCATCTTCAAGGCCTCCCCAACAATCATGCCCACACATGGTTGCATAACACTATTTACATTCATCAGGCAGCAATGTTACACACAGTAATAGGAAATCCTGCGGGACATACTTACAAAAACGCACGCACACGCACACACACACGCACGCACGCACGCACGCACGCACGCACGCACACACACACACACGCACACAAAAACAGACCTGTTTCTTGGCATCGGCCAAGTCCTTTCTGGTCTTCACCAGCAGCTGTTTCATCTTGGAGGTCTTCTCCTCCCCCTGGTCCAGCTGGGACTTCAAAGCCTCTGGAGACACAAATATACACGCACACACACACGTGCACACACACAGACAGACAAATAAAAATGGTTAAGGTGAAATACATACTGTAGGCTTTTCATTAATTAAAAGCTTGACAGGAAACATGGAAAGAGAGAGGAAAGATGACATGTAACAGAGAGCTTTGTAGTAAATCATTAGGGCTCTGCAGGATTAATAAGAATTAAAATCACTAAATGCAGACTGGAGTTCCTAAAACAAATATAAAGGAACATGTACATTGTACTGACACATCTCATACATACCAATTTCCTGTTTGAGTGTGTCCTCCTTCAGGTTCAGTGAGTTTATCTGGGCCTTTAACTCCTCAGCACTCTCATCTCTTTCTGAGAGTTTGGTGTTGAGTTCTTTCACCAGGCGTTCGTAGTCAGCCATCTCCATGTCCATAAGAGAGCTCTGCTGCGCCCCCTAGAGGTTGAGCCAATATACTACATCATTACAGGGAACACAGATAAAACCTTATCTCCCTCCTTATCTTAAACTTTTAGGACAAAAAAAAAAAGATGTGGTTTAAAATTAAAGCTCATTTTCAACTGCAGACAATATTTTGCTTGAATTTTTAACACTTAAAATAATTTTACAGAGCCAAATCAAGTTTATGATATTAATTAATAAAGATACATGGATAAGACAATATGTTTGTGATTTCTGTTTTTTCAAGTGTGGTGAGGACCTTAGGCTTAAGAGGACCATGGTGGTTCTCACAGTATATATATATATATATATATATATATATATATATATATATATATATATAGTTGTTGTACTTATTGTGTAATTCCAGTGACATTTACAGTGAAAAGTTACAATTATCATATATTTACTGCGAATAATAACCCTGAAATGAAATATACTCCATCACTATAAATATATCTATCTGTCACTACTCCTTACTACTTTAATAAACAACCTTTCTGTGATCTTTGCCAAAAAATGTATAGTGCCCAGTGTTTCACTGTTTGTTTATTCCATACACTCAAAAATCACATTATCAACCTCAAACATATTGTTTGTTGGGCTGCACTAACAATGTGGACACATAACAGAGTCAGACCTCCTGGCAGCTTCCGTGTACACTGCTGTACTATGTAGGTCTCCACTAATGGAAAAGAAACAGCAGTTCCTATGCTGTGGGCTAGAACTGCTCTCTTTCTCTGTGAGAGGTGCTGCTGTAGCTGCAGGCCAGCCATCACCAGTCCAGTCGCTTGACTGGACGGGCCCTCAGAGACACTGGTGTCTGAGAAGCTGTGTGTGTGTGTGTGTGTGTGTGTGTGTGTGTGTGTGTACCTTGCGTAGCTGCTCCAGCTCCTGGGCAGTCTGCTGAGACTGCTGCTGCTGCCTGCGGAGCTGGGCTGTCAGCTCTTCTACCTCCTTCATGGCAGTTGACAAGTCCTGGAGAAGCAAGCAAACACACACACAAACACACATGCAGAGAGAGGGTTTTTCAGTATGTATATTTCATATTATTATGTCCCTCAAAATCATACAGCAGGTTAAGTCTTGATGTGAGGAACTATTTTTAAAAGACAAGATCAGCTAAATTACAAAGTAGCTGGCAGGACTTAAGATTAGTACACAATAGTATTACAGAGTATCCATCACTCCTTATTTCTACCTTGATCTTCTGTTCTTTCATAGCTCTCTCAGCCAGCAGGTCTCTGTCCAGACTGGCTAACTGTCTTTGCTGCTCCTGGTTTTGGGCTTCCAGCTGCCTCAGTGTGTTCCTCGCAGTCTCAATGCTGGTCAGCAGGTCCTCCTTCTCACTGCTCATCGTCTCAGTCTGAAAAAGTACAAACAATCCACATTACTATCTCGGTCAGGGGATAAACTTACAATTCCAAGACGGCAACCCCTCAGGAACAAGACAAATATAGAGCACTTTTGAGACAACTTGGTTAATAATGAGCCACAATGCCATTTGTATTTAGTTGTGTTTTATTCAACATCAGACATCAGTAGTCAGTTGTGGTGATTTTGCTGTGTGAAGTCCTCAGAGTAGTTGTTTTTAACTGTTCCACAATCGAGGTTGGTAGGTAGAGGAGATCATGTCTTTGCCGTGGCAGCTCTAAAGCTTTGGAAAACATTCCACCACTCAAACGCTGCCCCACACCCCTTGACACTTTTAAGACAAAACTCAAGACATATCTATTTTCAATGGCTATTGGTTGCTCTTAGGTTTAATATTTTATAATCTTTGATTTTTATGTTTTTCTTACAAGTTTTATTTTGTTTTTTCAAATGTGCACACATTTGATATTACATTAAATGTATATATTTTTGCTTCGATTGCCATTTATTCTGTTTAAGGGGCCTTTTTACTACTATTTCAATGTCTTTTATTTGCTTATTTGATTTGAAGGGTTTTCACCTGAAAATGCACATGTATGCAAATGCACCAAACCTGCATGAACACATGTGACACATTTAAAAGTCATTCATGCAGAACTGACAGCGGCAGGCTCTGAGGGGTTTCTCTGCAAGGAACATTGAACCACAAGCAGCAGCAGCAGCAGCTAGAGCAGCAGCAGGCACCTCCCATCATCTGTCAGCCAAACACTGAAACTATGATTGGTAAACAGAGATGTCCAGACGTACTCTTTCCGTCAGCCTGCCACCCCCGAGACCCATGAGCGCACACAAGAATAAACCTGTGTCTCAGAAAATGACGTTGCACTAGCACACAGCAGATGGAAGCTATACTCCGCTCCATTTACCTGCCTGTTGTTCTCTCATTGGAAAAAAAAAACAGTTATGAGCTTGGGGAGCAGAGTATATATAAACAAAATTTCTCCCGAGCTCACACAGTCACATCTGATGGGCTATTTGTGGGTGCCGGGCTGTCAAGCATAGCTGGGTGTGTCACGCTAAAATGACTCACTGTAAATCAGATGGAAACTGAGTTACGCAGGAAGTACTGGCGAGATGTATTGCTGGACAAAGTGGCACTGCTTAGATTTACTGGAGGGTGAGTGCAGCTTGTGTGTTTGTTAGTGGTAATGTGTGGGTGTGTGTAAGTGTGTGTGACTGAGTGTGTATCTGTGTTACCTGTGTGACAGCACTGCTGAGTCGTTTGGTCAGCTCAGCAATCTGTCTCTCCGCCGCCTCCACCTTCTCTCTCTCCTTATCCAGTTGCTCTGTCTGCCTGTCGTAATCTATCTGCAGGTTCTACACACACATCCAAACACACATATATTCATTCATTACTGGAAGCCGGTTGAACAGCTCAGTGAAGGTAAACACTATGCATCTTAAATATCAGCTGCATTTACATTTAAGTGCGGGACAAAACTCTCATTAGGCACAACAGAGTGGTTTCTTCTCTAATGGGGACACAGTCGTAAAGCACAGTGCAGTCTGGGGGCTGTTTATGGAGACCTCTGGGAGTGACATCACGCAAAAAAGTCTGTTTCAAAATGAGGATGCTTCCACTTGCCAATTAGCAACATATTAGTAATGCATGCAATTAATCAAATGTTTAACGATCAGAACTGTCAGCTTATGTTGGCCTCCTCTTTCCAGTCATGGAGGCACAATAGAACCAGGCACAGAGTAAATATTGCATTGTGCTGTCCATAATTTTAGTAAGTATTGATTACACTACATCTGTATTAGTGCTCTATTATAGGATCTACTGTGAAGATTGTCAATCGCTATTTAAATTAATTATTTGGTAAATCAATTGAAATAATTGCAGTAAAAAATGCATCTTTACAACATATTGTGTTAAACAACAAAGCTTTTAGGTCTTTTGTGAGCTGATACACAACAGTCCAGTGATAATAAGTAACTATCATTGGCTAATATATTCCTTTATCAATTTAAAAGTGATGCAAATTTAAATGTAAATATTATGTAATGCCATTTTTTAACACAGGTCAATATGATTAAATCATATAATTCCTACTGTGTGGATAAATGCATGGATGTATAACTGACCTCAGTACAATTACTCAAAATAAACAACTGCTTGACATAAAAGTTCTTAATGAATTACATGTGTTACAGAATTTAAACAGGATATTCTGGTAGTTTGTCTTTTGTTTATCCCAGACAGTCTACTACCTTGTAGCCTTCAGCCCCATGGATGATATCTTTCATAGAGCTGTTCACTTTCTCCCTGTCTGCTTTCAGTGATTCTACTTCCTCCTTGAGGGTTGCAACCTGTAACAAAAATCAAATAAATTATAGATGAATCAGTGTACAATCAATAATCAGAGCACTGAAGAGTATCTAGAGAGAATACTGTAGTGATACGATTCATATACTACTTCTGCTCTCTCTTCCTGCTGATTACTGACTCTACCCACCTCTTTCTTACTGATGTCCAGCTCCTTCTTCGCTTTGATAGCCACTGCCTTGATTTTGTTCATCTTCTCATCCTTTTCTTTGTGTTCTTTCTCCAGTAGAGCTGAGGGGAGCAGCAGTTACAAGGTCTGAATTTATAATATATAATTTATCACCTGCTCCAAAGAGAAGGCCAACTAAATAGCTTTTTGAAAGACCATATACAGTATTTAGTAAAATAACTTGCAGTTTGAAATATTAGTTTATCTTATATACTCATTAACAAGTGTCACCTCCATACCTAATTTCTTTGTGATCTCACTGGCTGTGTTTTCCTCAGAGGAAGTAGACTGAGCCGCAGACTCCTGAGAGAGTGACAGAGGATTAATAAAAGAGAGAAAGTAGGAAAGAGCAAAAAACAGAAGAAAACAAACACTCAAATTATACGTCAATCACCTTTTCTTTTTTTTTTTTTTTAAAAGGAAGTGTTTTATTTGGTTTGAAGCTGCAATATTTTTGCAATAATCAGTATTTCCATGAGAAAAACATTCCAGAAAACCTACATGCATTAGGGATTTTTTCTCCACTTTCCCTCCTCCAGTTGACATAAAATAACTACTACAATATAAATAGAGGTGCAACATTTAATTTATCAGTTTAGTATCAGTTAATCTAGAGATTATTTAATAAATCGAGACAGCAGTTTAGTCTATAAAATGTCAAAATTTGCATGGGGATGTCTTAAAACTGCTAAACCATAAATAAAATCAAACAATCAATCAACCGATCAATCAGATGACTTAAAGCTGATTCTGATTCATGGAATTTTTGGATTGCTGTGACAGTGTGATCATGTCTGATAGTCAATTAAAGCAAAATACAATCAATCAGAATTAATTATTTTGAATATTAAGCAGTGATTCTGATCGATAATGGCGATTAGAACCTGAGCTCCACTCACCTGGAGAGCGGCGATCTCACTCCTCAACTGAGATATGAGTGAATCCTTCTCTTCCAGCTGGTCTCTGAGCTCTGTTCTCTCTTTCTCCATATTCTCAATCTCTCCTTTCTCCTCCTTCTCCTCAGTCATCAGAGAAATGTGAGCCTGCAGTTTCTTGTTCTCCTCATTTATCTTCTCATTGACTGACTTCATATCCTCCAGGTCTTTCTGCAGCCCTTCAGTGTCCTTCACCACCTCCTCCAGGTTGTTTCTCAACATGCTCCTCTCCTGTTCCAGGTCTGTGATACGAGCCTGGAGCTCATTTTGCACCTCCTCTAATGTTACTACACCTTGAGCCTCCTCAAGACTGCTCCTCAACAGGCTCCTCTCCTTTTCCAACTCATCTACACGTGCTCGGAGCTCCTCAACCTCTGCGGTGGAGTTACCGAGTGCTTCAGACTGATTTTCCTCCAGAGCTCTGATGGTGGCGCGGGCCTGCTCTGCCTCCTCTGCCAATGAATTCAACTTCGCCTCTAGGTGGTTCTTTTCAGACGCCTCCTGCTCTAGCTGCCCCTCCAGGGCTGCCAGCTTGGAAGCCAAAAGGTCCCTTGTTTCCTGGGCTTTGGAAAGCTCAGATGATGCCTCTTCCAATTTATGCTGGAGGTCAGTCTTTTCTTTGGAGAAGTCTTTGATACTCAGCTCTAAAGCTGAAACAGTCTCCTTCTGTCTTTTAACCTCCTCCTTCAGGCGCTCTTCTACATTTTCCCTCTCTTCTTTTAGATGTTGCACTTCATCCTCCTTCTCTTTTTTCAGGCTTCTCAACTCATTCTCTTTCTCCTCTCTATGCAAAAGCGTCTCTTTCTCTTTCTCCTCTAGCAGCCTCTCGACCTCTTTTGCTCTCTCGTCGTTCAGCTTTTGAATTTCCTCTTCTCTGTGCTGGAGCTGGGAGTGTATATTGTTTCGCTCTTCCTGCAGCATGTGAACCATCTCTTTCATCTCTTCTTTCATGTTTTCCTTCATCAGCAGTTGGGAAAGGATCTCCTCATTCTGCCTGGTCAGTTCCTCCACAGATTGCTTCAGCTCACACGCCAAAGTTGTTTGTTCCTCTAAAGAAGACTGGAGTTTCTGGTCCTCACCAGTGGAGGCTTCGAGCTTCAGCTTCAGGTCTTGTACGCTCATCGCCAGAGTGTTTTTCTCCTCTGTAACCTCTCTCACACTCTCCAACAGCTCATCCCTCTCCTGGCTAAGCTGTTCCATCTTGTCCTGGAGTTCCTGTACAGTACTGGCTCCCTGCTCCTTCATGGCTTTGTACTGAAGAACAAAATCTCTCGTCTTCTCACCCAGTTCTGTCTCCACACCTTGCAGTATGTCTCTCATGTGTTGACACTCAACCAGGGCAGAGTCTCTCTCTCTGGTCAAGGCGTCACACTGGGCCCTCAGCTCCTCTGGATTCAATTGGTTATGGTCTCCAGGACTTATTGATGACTCTTTGGATTCACCTGGGAGGGTGTCCTCTGTGTCTTTGAGTGCTTCACTCTGTTGCTGGAACTCTCCTTGGACTTGGTCAGGGTCCAGGGTTACGGCTGGGTCATTGGTAGTGCTTTCACGGTTCATCTGCAGTTCATTGATTTTGAACTCCAGCTCTTCTCTTTCCATCTGGAACTCCTCTTTGGTCCTCTCGAGCTCTGCCTCGAGCTCACCCTTCACATTACTAAGCAGGGTGAGCTCATCTTGTAACATGGTGCTCTGGGCTTGAAGGTCTTCCAGGGCTGCTCTCAGTTTTCCAGTCTCCGTCTCCTCTCCATCAACGTGGCTGGAGTCACCCTGACTGCAGCCAGACAGCTCCAGCATTTTGGCGATCCCCGAACCACGAGGAGGTTCCTCATCTTCCTCTTGCACATCCTGCAGGAAGCTGTCTGGAAGAATCAGGGTAATGTCAGATTAATGTCATTTTAATAATGTAACACATGCACAAACATAATATATATGATTATATAATTATAATTTAAACACACCTTGTGCCTTAATTAAGGCTATTATAATTTTAAAAAATCATACTATACTAGAGGATACTTAAGTATCATTCAAAAATATATTACAATTTATAGATTTTGCATAACAAAAATATGAAATCTATGAATTGTTAGTTATAGGCCACAAAAAGGCTTGGCTCAGCTCTGCTGTGCACCGTATACACAGTGTAAATGCTTGTTATCACCTACAGTAAACAGTGAGTATCCTTCACTGTAACAGATCTAGCTCCTGTACTGACCTTTCTCTGTAAACAAAGTGATGTTATACCTTTGAGAGCGAGCTGCTCCGTCAGCTCCTCGTGGAGCAACAGGAGGCGCTCCCTCTCAATTTCACAATCCTCTTCCAGAGCCCTCATTTCCTCCTCGTGCTGCAGACTCTTCTGAGCGAGCTCCTCCTTCAGGTTCTCCACCTCCTGCTGGGCCTCAGTCAACTTCCTTTGGTGGCTCTCCTGCAGCTCAACAGTCTCCTGCGATTTTCGCTCTTGGATCGCTTCCAGTTCGGCTCGAAGGGTTTTCAGCTGAGCTTCTAAGTGACGGCGGACCTCTTCAACGCTCTCTTTGGCACTCGCACGTTCAGCCAGGCGCTCCCTCTCTCTTTCACTCTCCCTCTCCCGGTCACTTTCTTCTCGTTCTTTCAGTAATTTCTGGAAGTAAGACACTTCTTCTTGGTGTTTGTTGTTGGATTCCTCAATGCTGTTCTCTAGGGTCTTGAGCTTCCTTTGGTAATCTTCTGTTACACGGTCAAGCTCTCCTTGGAGCACTCCGAGATCATCCTGCACAAAATAAGTTATGTAGGTATGTTATGACATTAATAGTTTCATTATAACATACAGACATCATTGAATGGACTTTACAGAAATACACCAAAATGTCAGAGTGTTCAAAGAAATCCTGTATGTGCTGTATTTTACCTTGGCTTGCTGCTTATTCCTCTCTAGATCTTTACGAGATAGTGCAAGACTTTGCTGAGTTTCTGCCTTCTCCAGTAGTAAGGCATCCATCCTCTCAGTCAGCTCCTATTACACACACACACACACACACACACACACAAAAATTAAGTATTTTAACAGAGGAATATTTACAGTAGCCACATGCTGAGATGCTGCCCTATAAACAAACCTGTATCAGAGTGGAGTCATCTGAATTGCTGTTACTGTTTTTGGATTGCTGTTTGAGGGCTTCAACTTCTTTTTCCAAATCTGAAAAAGGTAAATAATGTCACATATTTGTCCACTATAGACCCACAGAACCAAAGAGCCAAAAACAAACACAAGCTTTTAAAGCATTTATAGCTACCTGCACATCTGCTCTTCATCTTCTGCATGCCAGCCATTTGCTTCTTGGCAAACTTGATAAGGTCCTCTTTGGACAGTGTGTCCAGCTGAGAATACAATATATACAATATATATAAATCTATACCAAAGCATATCAAACAATGAACCATGTTTATACAAATTTAGACACAAATTTCACATTTTGATAGTCTCTCTGAGCAACAAGGTGCTTGTAGATGCAGTACCTTTGACTTGGCTGCACCTGCTGGTGACTGAGCCACAGACTCTGCTCCGGTACCACCAGGGTCCTGTTTCAGGGAAAGCAAAAATAAATGACAGACCTAACAAGGTACAGACTGCAATAAACACATTTAAAAGACATAAACTCTGTCAGGTGTGCTCTATTTCTTGTTTGTTTTTGGCTGCTTGACCTCAGACTGCAGGTAAAATACCAGTCAGCACAGTATTCCCTCTGGAAAATCAGAAGTTTAATGTTACTCTGCTTGTTGGCAAAAGCACAATGTTAACAGAACACGTTTAAAAACATTTTATGTTTAACTAGGACCCACTTTACAATTCGGCACACACAGAACAAGTATAAGTACTTTTATTTAATTGTAGTCTATAAAAAAGGTTTGTCTTTTCCAGTGTCAACATCCACACATTGGATGGCGGAGGCGAGCAGTGGCAACCAATTAAAACAGCTGAAATACGGTTCGACAACATGATTAATATGTGCCAGTTGTAGCAGAAGACTGTAAGGTTGAGTATTATCGTGTTACACCGAGTCACGTAATTACAAATAGGTGTTTGGTGAGTAAACAGCACACAGTGGGTAACTAACTGAGCCTGCTGCGGGCTTACTGTTACCAACTCTGTTTCCAAGTCTATTTACACTTAAACATGAGGAGCTTAGCGCCGATATGACAAACGGTGCAGTGTTATATTATTAGCTGTCTTGAAGATGCTCTGCACGCATTATTAAGTTGTGGCAGACCGGCTAAAGCTAACTCCTCGACCCTGAACATTTACCTCCATCTCGGGCGAAGTTTAGCTCCTCCTCAGTCCTCTGACAAACACCAGGGAGATAACCAATATGTCCGCCGGACACAATCAAAGCGATATGTGAAATTATTTCGGTTTTTTAGGGGGGGGGGAAGATTAAACACTAAAACCTCTCCTCTGTTTTGGTTTTTGAGTTAACAGGCTAAAGCAACGAGTCGCTTCCGCAAACGTCAACCGATGACGTCACGATAACGTACGTCACACGTTGAAGAGGATACTTGAGGCTGATACCGGATGAACCGAAAAGTCAACGCACATTTTCTGGGTTTTTCTTGTACAGTCTTTTGCATATTGTGCCCGTGTGAACTGTGCACAGCTAATCTGAATCTTACTGCACAATACTGACCCGTTAGATACAATTATGTCGTCTTTTTTTTAATGTGGAAAAGGAAAATACTGACACCCTTTGGACACCTGGTGGTCCCCAGGAACCAACTAACAAGCAATGGTCTTAAACCATTATTGCATAGTTGCATCGTATGGCCGGCTGCTGTACGGTGTTGCCTGGAGGCAAAAATGTCATTAACCGTACGGTGCATGACCTGATGTCAGAGGGCCTCCAGCATGTGTCATAACTGAGTGATGAAAAGGTTAAATTAACACCTTTAACTGGTTTTGAGAGAGCTGGTGTGAAGACCATTATACCTGGGTGTCCAAATGGAGATTCCAATATAAAAGAGTGAGGGATAAATAAATGCTGTGGCCCATAGCCTCAGGGTTTATTAGCTGGAGCCGTACATTAATAGAAATTAGTATTACACAGGTGAGTAGCATTTCATTACCCCTGTATACTCTCACAGACATCGTGAGTGAGTTAGTGAACAGTGCTGTGACAAAGTATAGACACCGTTTGATGTTGTTGCATAATTTGTTCCACAAAATTATATAAAAAAGAAAGTGTTTCAATATAGAGAATATGTTAATCTTTATGATGTTAAGGGGAGCGTGATAATTCCCTTCTTTTAAACTTTCACCCTCACACCCACCAATGAACCTCACAATACACAGTTCTTTCATGTTTTCTAAATTTAATGTGTTGGTACAATAAATGTTGGTAATACTCCGACTACCTTATAATCAGGATGGCGACGCAGGTAAAACATGGATTTATTAATCTCGTATTGTACTGGACTGCATATCAGGCATGAAATTAATCTGCAGATGCTTCAGTCCAGACTGTTTTTGAGCGACTACAAAGGACAAACTGTGGCCTTCAACAGACTATAAACCTTGTTTTTTGGTGGCCTTTTTATGCCTTTATTGGATAGGACAGGTGATCATTCACTCAAAATAATGATTCTTGGCCCTCATAAACATGAACTTTGTTTTTAAGTCAAATGTAACTGAAATAAAGTTTATTTAACAGAATTAAACTGGATGCAAACAAAGTAAACTTTACTAGATCCCATAAGGAGGCTGTGTGCCTCTAACACTGTAGGTGGCTGACCCTTTACATTGCACATAATAAAATTACATGGAAAATTTACATGTAATTGAAATACTTAAAATAAAAATAAAATAAAAATAAAAAATACATTTTTGCAACCACAAAAGGTCCCTGAGTATACTAAAGCCATAGATATGCACAAAACATATTAGACTGATTGGTCCAGTTGTATGCAAGGTTACCTGCGGACACACACACACACACACACACACACACACACACACACACACACACACACACACACACACACACCAAGGCCAAACTCATATAATGACATTTGAATGCATCTCTTGATGATGAGTGTTGAAAACACCGCAGCACAAAAATGAACAGAGCACACAGACCTTTATTAAAAAGACAGAAGCAGCGTAGAGAGGCACAGTTTGTTACTGTTACAGCACAAACTGTAGCTGAGAACCTAAAAACTGATTGTTTTTTTATGACTGTAAAGGCCATATGGGGCATAAACTCATCCCAAAGCTATCTGATGCTACCATGATGTTGTTTTTGGGACTGTTATAGGGAGATGGGTGGTATCTGCCCTCATGCTGACATCAGGCCTGTCACAAACTCAATGGACAGCCTAACTGTGCCTCTGTATTCCCATCACGTGAGGTCCAGTTTTATCTGTTGAATATGGAGAGCGTCTGTTTTGACACGAGTGATAGAAGCACTGACGGAGGCAGCTTAGCGAGATGCCTCTCATCCTGACAAGGCTGGGATGCTCCGGGCAGAGGGGCAGGGGCTCTGCCGACTCCCTGTCTCATCTGGAAGAGACCCATCTCTGCCTTCCACCCCGCCTGGGTCAAACACACCCATCCATCACAGCCCCTCCCTTGTTTTCTCCCAGGGCATCGAGCAGTATTTTGCTGCCATTTTTCTCCCCCCACTCGTGGCCGTCAGTCAGGGGCGGCTTTGCAGTAATATAACTGACACTGGCTGGCGTTCTGGGAGTAATGAATAGCCTAGCTGGGTCTATCAGGAGGAGCAACAGACACTCTTTCATGCTTCTCTCTTTCTCTTTCCCACTGTCTTTATTTCTATCTCTCTTTCACTTTCTCCAGCTAGTTTTAGCTCAAGAGTCAACACATTTCAAACTAACATGGAGAGTGAGATACATTCACTTTTTCCTGCCTCTCTCTCTTTCGCCTCATCTTTTTTGCTTTCTGTTAAGAAATGTCGGGACAGGAGTGTCTTGCAGGCTCCTCCAACTGTATACTTAAAATGCAAACATGTTTTGTACATTTGACTTTGCAAATGTAAATGTTGCGTAAAATGTTGTGGTAAATGAATAAAAATGACAGTTCATAAACTAATAAAAAAAAATAAAAAAGGAATAATTTGTTGAAAAAACAAAAAAATGCATTTTGCAAACAACACTCAGTCTACAAAGATGCATGCACTGGGTTTCAACCTCTACGGCTGTGAGTGACTGAGTGTTACAAATGTATTTTTTCATGGCTGAGAAGTGATATCAAAGTGATATCTACAGCCGTGGAGCCAGGTCCAAAACTGTAAATGTCTTGTACAAAAGGTGAAAAAAGCTGAATCTACATTTACATTAAATTGTTTCTGTAAGCTTTATGTGTTAAAATGGTACACAGGGTTTTAAAAACAGGGAATAGACAGCAGTTGGTGCAACATGTTCCCAGTTGTGACCTGCAACTAGAGCACTGTCCCAAAAATCTTGAAGGAATTGGACACGTCAAAGTCAAGTCACATTTTATTTATATACAGCAAAATCACAAATCACAGTTTGCCTCAGCGGGATTTACAATCTGTACAACACCCTCTATCTTTAGACCCTCAAATCGGGGAAGGAAAGACACAGAGCCACAGGGGAGGGATCACTCTCCCAAGACAGACAGACATGCAATAGATGTAGTGTATTTCTGATGCATGAAGATTATAAAATATATATGAAGAATGTGGATCCAGGAGGAAGCTGAAACAACTTAAATATCGCTGAGTGGGACCTGATGTACTTCTTCTCCAGATCTGGAAGAGGACAGGCAACAGAACAGATAAGCAAAAAAAATCACAATATATACAGATTTTGATGACATATATGTGTGTATATATGTAGATTTGTAAAACGTACGTTAATGTAGGATCTAGGAGGACGTTGAGCAACTTTAGGTCTCGCCTCCTCCTCTCAGCCATGGAGACCTGGACGAGGACAGAACACACAAGCTCCATTAAGACAGCACAGCATTCACACAGAAGCTAAGTCTGCGAACGTTATGGTAAAATGTTTTTTTTTTTAAATTTGAAAAGTGTCCTGGTCTAACTTTTGTTATGAATTGGTGCTATACAAATAAAATTGAATTGAATTTAATTGAACTTTGCAGAGAGAGATGAGAGGATCAATACCACCCTATAACCCAGCAGCTGGTTAGCTTTGCTTAGAATGAAGATCGGAGACGGAGGTAAAAAGCTAGCCTGGTTTTTTCCAAAGGTAACCAAATTGACCTACCAGCACCTCTAAAGCTCACTAATCAACATGTTATATCTAATTTGTTTCATTTGTACAAAAATCCAACATCATATTGTCAATTTTATGTGCCCAACTGTTTGTACAGTGACTAACACATAGCTTAGCATAGGTGGCTGGCCAAGTCTATTTTGTAACCATTAGATAGAGCCAGGCTATAGTTTCCCACTGTTTCCAGTCTTTGTGCTAAGCTAAGCACACTGGCTGCTGGTGGTAGCTTCATATTTAGCCTATATAGCTTTACCACACATGTGCCACAAGTGCAGGACTCAAGACAACAACTTTACTTAACCTGACTGCTTTATAAATGTACATTTATATATGTATATATATATATATATATATATATATATATATATATATATATATATACAGTTAAGCCAGTGATGCGTGAGGTGTCAACTTTAAATCGAACACTTTGAGTCTCAGCCATCCCTTGAGATTAATCAGCATAGTAGTGAGGGGCACAATCGTCCCCTCCAGCCTCCATTTCCCCCTTTCCTCCTCCACTCCACTGCACTTGACCTCCTACCCAATCAGTGAAAGGTGACTTTGGGGGTTGGCGGGGTGGAGTGGTTTATGTCACTGACCCCCTACAGCGTGATTGAAGCCTCTCAGTGGGGCCCCTTCAGAGACCAAGAAAGATGGACTCTCTTATAGGCTGAATAAACAATTTGACTGTGTACTAAAAACACTGTAGTTTTGATTTAGCCTCAAATGAGCTCAGGGACAACTGACTGATAATAAATACAAAAAACAATGGTGCAGATAAATACAAAAATTTCATAATGACCAAAAATACCTGCAAATATATATTATATTTTTATATATATAAACACACATTTCACTCATTCTTGGGAGAATCTAATTACAGTACCTGTAGTATTTATTAATTTTCAGCTGTGTTACAACAATATTGGTATTTGCATTTGTTTGAATGAATCTTTCAGACAAGATTGTTACATCTACTCAGTATTTCTATCGGTCCACCCCTCATTTTGTTCATTGCCTTTGTTTTCTTCCTGACATTTTACCTCCGCAGACTGGCAGTACCATTAATAGGTTTGACATTTTAACATATAGCTTTGACATTTTAATGTATTAATGAAGGAATTGAACCTCTCAGATTGTTCTTTTCACTATAGACCCTGAGAGACCGGGTCTTCTAATAAATAACCAAACCTTATACTTGTGAAAGATGAAAGTCATTATGTTCTGAGCTTCTGTTAATAGTG